GTTTCGTACCTGCAGCAGCTCTTTTGGTCCCGGTGGAAGGAGGAGTACATAACGTCACTGCAGCAGCGCTCAAAGTGGCGCACTGTGAAGCCTAGTTTAGCTGTCGCCGATTTGGTTCTTGTCAAGGATGAGAATCTTCCTCCCATGAAGTGACCACTGGCGAGAGTGGTCGAGCTTTTGCCTGGACGAGATGGCGTTTCCCGAGTTGCTGTGCTGAAGACGTCATCTGGAATCACAAAGCGCGCCGTCAACAAGCTGTGCCTACTGCCAAATGCTGTTGCTGTTGAAAGTCAGGCTTCCAACGGGGGGAGTATGTCAGATCAAGCAGCTTAAATATTTTAAATTATTGCCAGTGGTGCGGTCCAAAGGAAATGCATTTTGGTGTTGTCGTTTGCACTGCAAAGATCATTTGCTACCGCATATGCGCATGCAGTGGAATTATTTCGTCTCCTTATGTCGCTATCTCTCGGACTCGGCTTAACAGCGTCCCCGAGCAGCTCTAACGCTCTCGGGCTATCTCGGACCCACAACGCTTCCTATGCTAATGCTAATTCGATTGGTGGCGTTTCGCCATCTGCCATCTGTTCTATCTAGAACCACCAGCCGATTATAAAAACAATTGTGTTGAGTAAGGTAGTCTTGAGTAGTCTGAGGTACTCAGACTAGCACAGCGTAATACTTGATACAGCCGAACATCATTAATAATTACTCTTATCAGTCTAGTGTGTGGGTAGTCGGAAGCTCACATCTTTTTTATGTGGTTTTGTAATCTACAAAATGTCTACATAAGAGTGAAAAAAAACCCATATTGATATTTACATCTATAACTATTCTGGAGTAGTCTCTGTGGCTTCTTATTTAGGCACGTCGGACTCAACCAGATTACTTCCGGCATTCAACTGGCCCTGCTGGACATCAACTGAGGATTGCTTTTGTTCGCTTGGAGCTTGGGGCTTCAAAACACTTTTCTCCCGGGATCGTAGAAGATTATCGAGTCCGCCAAAAGGAGCCTCAATGACAACGTAAAGCAGATACGAAATGAAAATAGTGATCCCAAAGTCAGACCAAAATTTCTGCATCTGAAAATCATCAATGAGGTTAGTTAAAAATAAGCAACCATCAACTACTAGAAACAAAACCTACTACAATTTGTCCGAGAAATAAGTATTAGTACGAACGCTTCTACTGTTGACTTCCTGTACGAAAAGGTGTCAGATGTACACGGAATAGGAGAGTCTCGAGAGAGGCTGCCACAATGGCGAGGATAGGAAACTGTTGGCCAGACCGCCATGGCCCTGCATGCAGGCAAAGACGATCCAACACAGGGCTAAGGGCCAGCCCACTCTGGTAAGCGTGTAGTACAGAAACTCCTTGAGGGTGGACAGGGGTGGAGCACTCCATTGGGTCGCAGGGTACAGGGCAAACATCGAGGTGAAGATCATGGCCAGACTAAGAACCCATCCAGACCATACCAAAATCCGGCTTATTTGGAACTTCTTCCTACAATTCAGGTGAAGAAAATATCCAAAAAGAAATGAAATCAGCCAAGGTGCCGAATGAGTATGTGTGGCAGAATACAGTTTCCTTCCGGCATCTCCTTCGGTTCCATTCCTGCAATTAAATGGGGTTGAAGAACTCCAACGACAAACAGAAGCATCGTGGACCTACTTGAAGAGCAATGAGTATTTGTTGACTATCATCGTGGCAAAGAGGCAGGACGATAGTAGGAGAACAAGAACCGCGATGCCAGCTGCTGCCTTTTTGCCCCCACTTATACAGTGCAATCAGCAGAAGCGGAGAGATTATATAAAGCTGCATATCCACTGCCCAGTACCATGTGTGATCCAGGCACTGAAAACGATTATCGTACAAATGGTAATAAGAGTAGATCTATGACTTACAATATTGCTTGTAGCATAATTCTGCACGAAGAGCAGCGTCCAGAACCAGCCCTTTTCATAGGCGGCTGTACCATGGAATCCACCTTTAAAATAAGGTCCCCCAGAAACAATGGGCGTCAGCTTTATGTAAACTAGGATTGCTATTGCAAGTATCGGCACGATCCGTATAATACGATGAAGATACATAAGCGGCACATTCAGTTTTCCTTTGGATCTGTAAGAAAATTGGCAATAATTCTCGATGGATACAAAATATCTCAAACACTTACTTATCCATTGAGCGAAGAGCAACCGTAGCCACTAGTAGGCCAGCAATAAAGAAAAAGGAATCAACCGAAAAAAATCCGTGGAGAATAAAGCTGGAAAAGGATTCCGCGACCCACTAGCAAACAAAAAAACAGAGCTGAATGGTTTTTGCACATACAAGCATGAGGCCACTAAAACCGAAATCATATTGAAGGTATTTATATTTGGAGAAACAAAACAACACAGAATAGGGACATGCAGCGGATTCCATCAAGACAACTGATCACGTTCGGATTCGATTTGCTGTCGACAATGCGGAAGATGGCACGGGAACTTGACCGTGCCGAGCACATCTTCACAGTCACAGAGATACTACCTGGTAGGCAAAATACGAGTTAAATCATTCTGTAAATCATTCCGTTCTCTCCGGTCCTCACTCTGATCCTGGCACAGAAAGTAGTCGTAGAGCGTGCATAGACCCACGATAGTACCCATCAAGCCAAGAAGTACACTGCAATCCATAGTATGAGTCACAGAAATTGATTATGATAAGGTCTAACTTACACTGTGAAAATGGTCATTCCATCCCAAGGTTTCGATTCACTTGTCTGATAGCTGGCCTCGCTAAATTTTATATTTGTGCTGCTTGAGTTCAACAAATTCTGCATTAACTGCTCCAGAAACGTATCCATATGTGCCGCAGAGCAGGAAGCCGGAAAGCAAGATGCGATCTTGATCGAAATGGATACGGCGGGTACAATTAGAAAACAGTACTTTCCATGTATGCTGTGACTACTGGTGATCTCCTCGCTGATCTTGACTCATCGAAGTTACCCAGATGGTAGACATTGCCGGACAGCACTCCTGAGGGAATGGAGCCCCAAGCATCGATCACTGCTCACAAAATTCGTCAACTTCAGTTCTCATTGACTTGAATATAATTTTCATTATTTACTTACTCTTAAGGGCCCATAATTTTCCAGTAGTGAGCGCCTGCATGAACTGAGCCATGTCCGCGAAACACAACAGATCCTCCTGACTGGGTATTCGGGGGTGGAAAAGATCCAAGTCCGGGAGCAATTCATACGGAAGTTTTCGGTAAACTTCCCAGCGGGCGGAGACTTTTTAAACGCTGGTAATCTTGCAGGACATCTCCGTCTTTCAGTTGTGCGGCACTGACAAGTACCAGTCCGCAGACAAGTAGACTGCTTAAAACGTTCACCATGCTAATACTTTTTCGATTGAAGGCATTGCACCTTTCGACTGTGATTTTATAGGAATGTTTTGAGGGAAATCTGGAGATAACATTATCAGTGTGTCAGCTCTCGAGTCGAGTATATCAGCCAAAATGCTTAATTCAGTCAAACATCACCGATAAGGAGCAATCCGTCTAAATTCTATGTAGTCACAAGATCATTTATCTATAATCTTTTCCCAGGTAATCGTTTTACTTATTGACTTTTGATGGATTAAATTTGGTTTTAATATGAGTGAGTAAGAAAAAAACGGAGAAAACTAAAGTTTAGCTAAACATGGATGTAGACAATTTGTTCTATAATTCTGATCATTGCTTAATGATAGCCAATGTGCAATTATTACCATTAGTGGTGGCAGATCCTTTCTTTGTTTCAATGTTTTTTCCAATTCTCATGACAAGTAGCAGCAAAATGGCGAGAGTTCGTGAAGAGATTCCGCCTCCCCGCAACAACCAAATTTAAAACGAGGGGGAACGTTGTGAGTTGCTGCGGACACCGCAACTCTACATTTATACCCGATACTTAGTCAGTATGGCTCTCCTCCGGCAGAGGCCGCTAATATTAAACGACACGACAAAGAGTGCGTGCGAGAGAGACAGAAAATCAGGTCAGAGCGTGACGTCGGGCGCTGCGTAGCCACTGCAAATTGATTTCTTGCTTTTGGCCTACAAAATGATCCGATCTGATCCAGATTCAGCGATCTGATAGATATGGTCACTATCTATGATTCTGCGTTTTTTAGTTTTCTCGAATGTGCAATATTGTGAATATAACAGATTTTCGTCCTTTGTGGGTGCGGAAGGGGGGTGGGGAGAAATTCTGAAATATAGGTTTTATAGTGAGATCTACCAGAAGTGCGGGATACCAAATTTTGTTACTCTAGCGATAATAGTCTCTGAGATTTGTGGATTTTCGTCCTTTGCGGGGGCGAAGGGGGTGTGCCGAAATTGGACACGAAACAGTCAAGGTCCGATATCACAGGAGTATGGATACCAAATTTGGTTGCTCTGGGCTCTTATAGGTTCTGAGATCCTTGAACTCATATTTGCAATTGGCAAAACCGACCATGAAACCTGTGTGTTTGAGAGAGACAGAGCGAGGGAAGGAAAAAAAATAAAATTGTATTCTTGATTCTGGCTATAATAATTATACGATCTGGTTGAGATTTTACATTCTAGAACATATAAACATCCTCTACGATCTGCCTTTTTTTGGTTTTATCGTATCTTTAAAACGTGGATGCCACAGATTTTCGTTCTTTGTGGGGCGGAAGTGGGCGGCGCGAAGTTTTGAAATATTTTTGTGGCGTTTGTGGGGTGGGGTGGGGAGACCTGAAAAGAAGGGAGAATCTGTTAGGAACACAACATCGAAGTGGGCCCTGAACTATCACTTGGAGCCGTTCAGAACTGGCTCTGGGAATCATTCAGTACAAATATCGAAAGTACAGGGAACATAAAGTAAATAAAATTTAAATACAAAACAAAGCCCATGAACGAATATTTCCTCACAGGTGCTGGAATAAGATGAATCCAACTATTAATAATCCACGTTCCCCATTCACCCTTTCGCGGGGTATTTTCGGATCCATGGGATCCTTCGACTTTACCGACCAGCATCAGCAGCAGCAGCCGGAGCTGCAGGTCCCCCCCGAAGGTTCCGGCGACAAGAATGGACTCAATGCGATGCCCTTCCTAGGCCAAATCCACACTAGTCTTCTGCTTTCGCGCCCAATGGGTCCAATAGGTCGCGCACACCCCCCACCCTTCCCTCCGATGGGTGATTCAGATGGGTGAGCGGGCAGCAGCTCAGACCTCCCCTTCCCCCTAGGACATAACTTACCCCCGGCTCCCCTGCAGATTCAATGCTGTGCCACAGATGGCATCGATGGGACCACCGCCCGTGTTGAGCTCCCTCTGGACAGGCGGCGCTTCTCCGGACAGCCGCGGAGACTACTACGACGGCCCGCACAAAGAGTACCTCCGACGGCCGCTACGACGGCGACTACGAGGGCGACTACTCGATGCCAACCGAGGAGGACCAAGAGGAGGAGTCGTGCTCCTGTCAGGGCCAGAGCGAGTTCAGCTCGATAGAGCGCACCGAGTCGGACTCGGAGTGGGAGGAGCTCTCCGACGGCCCTTCCCCCAGGGTCTCTCCGCTGGAGTCCCTCGGCGCAGTCGTGCTCTCCACAATGCAGCCGGAGCACAGTCAGCGCATGGTGGCCTTGTACCACCTCCTCTTGGAGACCGCTGTGGTCAAGGTCGTGCTGCTGGTGATGCAGATGCTGTGCTGCGCGGTGTTCTGGCTGGTCGAGAAGACTTTGGTCGTCAACGAAACCGTCGGCTCGATGCGCCTCCGATTGTGGAACAGCAAGTTCAAGCTGCGCACCATCCAGCGCCAGTTGCTGTGGCGCATGGCCAATGCCCGGGGCGACGAGACGCTCGTCTTCTTTGCCGTGCTCATGACCCACTCCCTGGCTGTTCTCCCTCAGCCTCCTGGGATTCATCCTGTCTTTGGCGGCGCTCCTGAAGAAGACCGTCGAGGAGCTGGTGTTCCAGATACGCCTGCACCTCGTGATCTAGGGGGAAGCCATCGAGCAGAAAGCAGCAAGCAGTATCCAATCACACACTGACAGAAGACAAACGTCCACACGCCCGACACTCCACTCCTCCCCTCAGAGATGTTTGCACTTCCATTTGGGCATCTATTTTCGTTGATGCCAGAATCGTAATGCCCGGAATCGTCTCTCCGTTTTTGGCCGCAATGAAAATATATGCCGAAATATTCGAAATTCAAAGTCAAATTCAAACAAGAGTTTCCAGTCGATCAGATATATCGTTTATGCATATTACGATCCGTTCCGTTTGGACGGGAGTCCAATTGCTCATCGTTCATCCCCGTGATTGCATTTATTATTATTTTTATTTCGCTGCATATTTGTTCTGCAATTTATTCAATAATAATCGGAGGAGGAGAGCATGCAGCAGCAGCAAAACATTTCCGCTGCAGCAGCGATTGTGGCAGCCGTGGGGCCTTTGTTGCCACCAATTGCAGGCCCCCGCATACGCACTTCGGAGGCACGGAATCCACCAGAAGCGGCAACAAATGAATCATTAAATATTCACTGTACTCTTATTGATTCAGTGATCAGTGATCAAAAACAACACAACAAAAGCGTCATCATCCACGATCCACGACCCATTATACCTGATCCAGAATCCGTAGAAGCATCCATTTTCAGGGCTCTTTTGGGCGCTGGTTGGGGTACGCCTCCGATTTCAATCCCTTGCCACACGGGCAACCCGAGCAAGCCCCGATTATGTAAACAGGGTCAAGACTACCTGTGCGAAGGGGGCCAAGGGAGGCGTCGGCATAAGACTCGGCCCGGAAGTGGACATACTCGTGTGCAGCCCTTTCGCCCCGGCTATTTGATATTCCCATTTGTGATTACAGTCTGTAGCGCCACAGCAGCTCTTATAGTCTTTGAGCACTAGGCGCTGAAGAGGACGGACAGACGGACGGACGGATGGACGGACGACAGACAGACAGGGCTCAATCGACTCGGCTATTGATGCTGATCAAGAATATATATACTTTATGGCGTCGGAAACGATTCTTCTGGACCGTTACACACATCCACTTTTACCACAAATCTAATATACCCCAATACTCATTTTGCAAACAGATGCAAAAAAAAAACAAAACGGAGAATATCCCTACTGCAGTCATCGACTGCGATACAATCTCTGGCGCTTACGTATAATTTCGTATAAAATATGTTCTATGTAAATAATCAACCAATTTGTTTT